GAAATGTGTTGTTCTGTCCTTGCAGCAAAGTTCAAAGAGCGCATAGTAATCAAAATCTGGGATCACACATACTGGAAGTGTCAAACTCTTGAACTGCTGCTCTTTAGTTGAGCATTCTTCAGCTTGCACTTTGCAGGAGGCAGCAATTTTGCAGTGATCGTGTAATTTAAGGACTGAATCACAGTGTATCCATTTAAGGAGACTGAGTTAAGGTTTCACAAAAATTCTTGATTTTAGCATTTCCTAATCTTTGAGTACTTGACTTTACACCTTTACTAGTTCCCTTTACTAGGGGTCACTGTAGAAAAGCAAAAGATGTCATTGTGTTAGACCAGATTTACAGCTTCTGGTTCAACAGCATAGTTGGAGTATTCATACAGAATCTCTCTCACTTGACTCAATATTTACTATAGCAAAGTTCTTTAGGGCCTTGGTTTTCTAAAAGCCTTCTCCTCTACTTTTTCTATATACCATGAAGTTCAGTAAGATGACTTCTATGAGTAAGTTTTATTTGTATAGCTCCCTGAATTAAACTCCAAGTTATCTATTCCCATTCTCTATTTTAAAAGTGCACTTCATTCTTTGGGACCGTGATAGACTTTATGTAATTTATAGTTATCTGAAGATTTTACAATATTCCAGTAGCTTCTAGATCTTTGGAAATCAAGTCTGGCCAGGATGCAAAAAAAATTTTATCCTTGGATAAATGAATTGGATCCCTAAGATTTTATCCTTTTATTTGTCCTCCTACAGATGCTCTATTAAATCTTGGGCAGAAAGAAACCCTTCTAATCTAAGATTTCCCAAATTTAATTTGCAGCAGTATCACCAGCACCTATAAGAATAGTCTTTGCACATTAGTAGTGATGGCAATCATGTGTTTAGTTTTGGCAGCAGCAGTTCTCGACTCTGACAGGCCACATGCAAGTAAACACAGTCCTCTAGGCGCAGCCTCTTGTTACATAGAACTTCTCAGCCTCTCAAAACAGGATCCCAACTTGTGTCCCCTGTGCTCTCACACACCCCATACTAGACACTTAATTCCATCCCTTCAACTAGCTGCCTCCTTCTGGTGGCAAACTGACCTGAGCTAAACTGTTGCTGGCAGCACAGAGACAGTTGACTCGAGAGTTTCCCTGAACTATCTGCAAACTTCCAGCAGCTGCCTGTGCAGAGGTGCTCACTCTGGAAGTGAGGTATCCGCCTCCACACAAGCAGGCAGGAACTGCTTTGTGCATCACTAGTAAGAGCTTTTACTAATGTGGCTGGTGAAGCTCTGACTTAGCCTGATTTTCTCACCTGCAAAATGGAATTAACAGTGTTTTCTGACCTCGTGGAGTTATACTGAAGTTAAATTCATAAAAGTAGTGAAAATTCATAAAAGTAGTGGTGTGCCCAGCTATTGTGATGATGGGAACAAGGGTTGTGTTAGATCTGGGCTCAAAGAAGAGAGAAAAAGAGAAAACCCCTAGGAGCCACCTACCCCTGAGCGGTATGTCCCAGCAACGGGGGGAGTATTGCTGTAGGTTTGCCTGTTCTTATTTCCTGTCACATGCATCTGCTCCTGGCTTTTGGATTTTTCCAGTGTCTGTATCTCAATGTTTCAGGATGCGAATGTAAAACTGATCAGAGAACTGCGCGAAGAAATCGACAGGTTAAAAACGATGCTGCTGAGCTTTGAACTGGTACGTCTGAACTCTTCCCAGCTGGAGAAGTGGTGGTGCTCTACGGAACTGCAGTAGCACACTTTCATCTTGTCTGTTTACTTTTCCATCTTTATTGTAACTGGAGGGAAATTACATTGCTCTTTGAGTGATTTCAGAATGACTATAAGGTTAAGTGCTTTTCTATCATTTCTCCTTTTTCTGGCATTATAATCCCAGGTATAAGCTGTTGTGTGATGATTAGAAAGGGCTTCCTTGCCCTTTGTGGAATGAACCCTGCTGATTTTGTGGAATCAGCTGGTTTTACTGCCAAGAAATGCCTTGAAATATTTGCTTTGTAGGGATATAGAGCACCAAGACGGTGCAGAACATTAGTCATTAATGTAATTTCCCTGCCAGACTTGTTGCAGTCCCCTTCCCCAAAAAAGTGAACTAGCAGGCCTTGAGGGTAGCTTGAAGGTACAGGTTGCCTGTGCGCTGTCCCCCACAAGAAATTTTGAGTATCTCTAAGACTCTCAAACTCTAAGATGCTCTCCAAGAGCTGACATTCTTTGCGTTTTTAAATTTGGAACAATAATAGTTTATTGGCTTTCCATGCCATAGGGAGTATATTTTTCTGAGAGAAACTGGAACTAGACTCCAGGATTTATTTACACAGAAGTGTCTCTCTGTTAATGCACTCTCACCAGTTCTCCACAAAGACTTGCATGCAATAACTGGAAAGCAGTTCACAAGCAAATTTAGAAGGCAGCATCAAATGTCTGCCTATTTTGTCTTTACGTCCCCCGAGTTCATCTCCTTGAAGTCATAGAGACTGACAGTACATGGTTGCCAGTTGTGAATAAGGAAACCAACACACAGGTCTCTGTAATTGTTGTTTGCACAGAGGAATTCTAGTCCTTCTTGGAGTGATGACAGAGACGGAAATCTGACCGAGTTGGTTCTTCAGAATGAAATGAAGGTGTGTATGATCTGTTTGATGCTGTAACCCACTCCTGCTCCACTAGGGTAGCATTGCCATAGTTTTGAAACCACAGTGAAAATGTATTTATCCTAATCCTTCCCTGTTTGCTCTGAATGTGCAGAAAGCGGCCGTCTTTAATGCATACTGGGCATTCTCTACCAATTTGTGATAAACATCTCGTGTGTCCTTAGTAGTATGCAGTGGGCAGTATCCCAGTAAGTCTGCTCAATCCATTCCTTGTCTGAAAGCTGTCTGTATCACGATAATTTATTATACAGATCCTTTGTCTTATAAGCTTAAACTCCCCCAATTCATTTAAAGGAAATTATTATGTAGTCACTGAATTAAGGAGTTTTGATCATCATGAACCTGGAGAGGTTTTGAACGTCTTAATTTTAAATGTTACTTAAGCTTGTCAGACGGGCAAAATACCTAGTTTAGAAATCATGAAGTTAGCATGATCACACATTTTTCTGATATTTTGGGAGTAAGTCTTCAATGGGCAAAACCTGCTTCATTAAGTGATAGTACCGTTTTCACCTGATTATTTCTGTAGCCACAGAAATACACCTGCATTTCAGCTGATTTCAGCTGATGAAATAATTTTGCAAGAGTATATTGTAATGTGGGGGGAAAGCTGTTCTTTCTGAGGAAGTCTGTGTATGAGAAAAATTAACCTACTTAACAGGAGAGAAAACGGTTTCACTTTTTTTCCCTTTAAGATTGAACAACTGACCAAAGACTGGACGAATAAGTGGATAGACAGAAAAGCCATCATGGAAGAATACAGTGTAGACATCAACAAAGAAAAAGCTGGAGTAACAATAGATTCAAGTTTACCTCATCTAATGGCAATGGATGATGATATCCTCAGTACAGGAGTGGTGCTTTATCATCTCAGGGTGAGAGATTATCACTTGTCTTATTTTTGCTTTTGATTTCAGAATCTATGTTTCTTTTGGGAACGGAGAGCAATTAAGGCAGTGTTATACCAATAGCTATCAAAAAGTAAGGGCCACAGTCCACAAGAACAACAAATATATGCATAAACAGGAAAACAGCAGCAAAAAAGGACACATGAAAACGGAGGAAAAGAAGGATGTTCTCTATCACTTATGCAAAGCAAAACATGATGACTGGAATAATAAGTTGACCTCTTATGAATGCATGTGCAAAACTATTTGACAATGCATGGTAAGCAAAGTAGATGCCCAAATGCCCCAAATGTATGTGGGAAAAGTTTTTTTCCCCCAAAACACAAGGACAGATCACTTTTGTGAGAGTGTGTTCGTGTGTGTGTGTGTGTAAAGGAAGGGTGGTGCTTAAACTATACCAGACATACTGGTCCAGATTTTGCTAAGTGTTTGTATACTTGAGACTGGAATACTTGCACAGGTGTAGATCACATATAATAGTAAGCTTTGACAAGCTCACTTTGGCAATGATTTCTATAATCTGCTATTTTAACCTTATCAGGCCTGCTAAGTACATTCCAGCTACGAAGCTTGAACGCTACTTACTTTTGATCCTATCTGAGTGGCTGTTTTCCAGGATCAGGTAGAAATCATGTCTTCATAGAAATCTTTTTGCTTTGTAGCTGCTCATTCAAGGCAGGGTTTTTACCAAGAAAATTCCATAGCATCGTATGTGTATTTTGTCATGTTTCAGTTTCAGATATGTGTGGCTAGCTTAAATATTTTGGGGGGATTTTCTTTTAATAAATCAGCACTAAACTAGATTTTAACTTATTGATACTGTTTAAATGAAAGGTCGTTATAAAGGTATTGATGATATTTAATATAAAATGAATGATAGATGGCTACCTCTTCAGAAGTGCGCTCATGAGCAAAAAATCCGTTAAAATATAATTGAAAATCAGGTATCTGCCTATTAATAAAAGATCCTCCTCCAAACTGAAGATCTGTGCTACTTGTTACAGTTTAGGAACCTTGCAGGTTGGTTTTTTTCCTGTTTAAAAAGTAGCAGCAAATATTTGAGATTGAAATCACACTATTCTTCACTAAATTGAAAGAGAAACTTTACTGATTTTCCTCAGGCCAGCACAGAGAAATTGTACCAGGTAATTGTTAGGTATCAACTAGTAACAGTCAGTGCTTAAAAACATCCAACTTGAACTACTCAATCCTACATTAGCATTAAATATTTATTAAAGGTAATTGCTACTACTTAAAACTTTTTTCATCATGTGCCAGTTTGGAAGCAGTAAATATTTTCACATACTAACTTTAACAATGCCTAAAGCTGTTTAACAATATTAATTTTAATAACGAAACCTGATTTGACGAGCCACCTTCTGAAGTCATTAACCAGTGTCTCTTTGCACTCTAATATCTTTGTCCTCTTTTTCTTTGCTCCTAGATGCTGCCTTTTCTTTTCTTTGTGCTTTGCATCTTTTAGACTCTGTTGTCTGTTACCTTAGTCTGAAGAGCAAGAAGGTAAAACATTAGCAGCTCCTTACGTACTAGGGCTTTAACGTATTACAGCACTCTGTTTTGTACTTTTAGGGAGAGGACGTGGCAGCAGTCTTCAGATCATGTAGAATGAACAGTGTTACTCTTTTATTCTCTTGTTATGCCATGGTATTAATTGCACTAATCAATGCTGTGTCTATGCTTAAAGAACCTTTCTTTCTGAGGTTCTCAGGTTTTTTTCTGCCTTTCATTAACAAAAGTAAATATTTTCTCTATAATTTAACTGACTTCTTTGCATAAGTTAAAAATTGGGCATTTGTTTCTATCAGTTTAGAAAAAGACAACTTTTTTTGGCAAGTTGGAGTACTCCCAAAACTGAAGGGAGGAAGTAATCTCCCTCTCTATGGCTCTGTAATATACCTGGGGAATTCCTCCCTTCATCAGGAAATGCTGCCGAAAGAAGGTAACAAGATAAAAAGGACTTCAACAGATAAATGAACACGTGCTTCCCGATGTTAAGGTGAAGCTATGCAATCATTTGATTGGAATTGTCTGTCTTTCACTTTTTCAGTATTAAATTAGGAAAGAGTATCACTTTTCAGCATATTTAAATTATTAGGAGAGTAATAGCATTAAAAATGAAATTGAAGCAGGTCTCATTTATAGCTATTTCTGTTTTGTTTTCTTCTTTAACATAGATTAGTTTACTTGCATGTTATCTGTGCCCTTGCTCTCCATTGCAGTGTTTTGTTGCGCTTAAACCCAACTGGGATCACTCCACTAATTGGGATGCATTCAACTGTTACGAATTTCATGAGCAAATAATGCTGTGATGTAATCTTCTGAATTCAATTATATTACCAGAGAATTATTTCAGCACACTGGACAAAAATTTCTTTGCTTAGTGAATAGGATGATGGATAAAGAGGTGTTTTGGGGGTAGGTTTATTTTTCCTTGTGTAAAATACCTGGTGCTAACTCAGTTGACTGTGCGAAGTAAGTCAAAAGCAAAATGAATCATGAAGTTTTCCTACAAGATGTGGCCAAGCGAGGTGGATATTTTGCGGCCGAGTCCACTGAATGTTAATCTGAGATGCCGCTTGATAGGGGGGGCACTGGGCACAACCCAACTTTCGGCTTCCCCCTGGGGGAGGGAAGGGTCTCAGCAGGGCTCGTAGCAGAGGGCTCTGTCAGTTGTTTCAGTTTGCCACTGTTTAGAGATCCAAACCCTGTGAAGAACTGAATGATAATTATTCCCTTCCCCTCTGATGCCAAGAAACCGTGGAGATTGACCTATAATTACCTGTAACTACATGGACTTCCAGTAATCCACACCCTCCTGTTTCCCAGTCTTAAGGCTTATGATTATTCTTGCATCATCTTTAAAACTAGGTTATAACATACTTGGTAAAGAGGGCATATTGAATTATTCTAAATGTAACACAAAAATGAGGTAGTTTAGTGACCGTAATTTTATATGACTTAAAGACTTGCTTCAAAACTTTAGTTTACTCAATAATCCATTTACAGTAATCAAATATAATGTCTCTTCAGAGCTGAGAAATGATCTGGCTTTGTTTTCCTAAGGAAAAAGACAGAACTGGTAATGGGACATACTGGGAAGGCCATACTTCATTGCTTTTATTGGTAGTTTGTTTTCATAGTTTTGCTTTAATGACTCTATTTTGTTGTTATGTCCACTGTAAGAATACAGTCTCCCTTGCATCACTGGCCCACAATATGGTTTTGGTCTACATGTCCTTGAGATCTTTGTTCCTAGGCAGTTCTTTTCTGTGAATTTATTAAATGCTCAAGAACATTCTCACATCTATAATCACTAAGACAATATTTTTGTAATTGCATCTATGTTTTGGAAAAAAAGTTTTCTCATAGTAGTTAGTTTGAAGAATTCACATTCTGTGACATAGTTCCTATCCTAAACAGAAATTCTTTTACTTTTATTTTGTACTTTGTTTTTTTTATTACTGAATCTAAAAAAGACTGATTAGTTGAATCGTCATTTTGTGCCTCCTTTTTTTGAATGGTATTTATACAAAGAATCATCTTTTCTATCTTAACAACAAGGCTCACCTTAGAAATTCAAAGCATCAAAACACATTCGCATTCAAAACGTTTGTCTCAAGCGCGTTCAAGAAATCATCCACTGAGGGTTACTTCATCTCCTGGAGCTGCAATAGGAGAAGCTGACGGAGCAGCAGGATAAAGAGCAATTGCGTCACTGTAGGGGCACAGGTTGAAGTGTTATAGAGTAGTAGCTACAGTTTGCTCTAAACAATCCAGTCAGAGATCATTTATTTCACGTATTTACTAAGATGCTGGACTAGAGCTTTTTTACTCATTGTGTATAATTTGCTTTCGGTAACTGACTTTTCAATGAGGGGTGGGTTTTTTCTTGTTTTAGGAAGGAACAACCAAAATTGGAAGAAGTGATTCAGACCAAGATCAAGATATTGGTAAGAGAATGAGATCACAAATTATTTGATGATAAAATAAGGTCAAGCTAGGAGAGTTTTGTCTTGTGTAATAGCTAAGTAGCGCTTCTATTTGTCAGCTTTTCCTATAAAGGGAGGTATGCAGAAGAGAATAAATGTTTAAGTTGGCCAAAACCTTGCAGTTAATTTTTGTTGCTGCTTATGAGGTCAGAAAGTCCCTAAAAGTGACTGGCGTCTGTTTAGAAGTTTTCTCACGCTTGTGAAGTGCTACATTAGCACAACAAAAATATCTTGGTCCAGCAATCCTAATCTTGCTATGACGTATCCTAAATGAGTGGCACAGGTGCTCAAGATAAATTACAAATGTTTTTCAACTGTCCTCTGTCATATTATTTTAGATTTAAAACCCAAATGACTATGATTATCTTTTATTTTGTTTCATTTCTGACCTGATTTTAACAGCCGGAATCTCAAGAGCCACAAATGATGACAGGGAGTGAAACTTTATATTAAAGCTGGAAATGTTCAGGCGTTTCAGCTTTGGTTAATTCAGCTAAATTTGGTTATCTTCTTCCAATGGGTTAGTAGAATATTACCTTTTAAAATAATGTCATAATAGCAATAAGAAAATTCAGCGCAATAAAAGAATTTGCACAACAGCTTGCAAATCACAAAGTAGCTTATAACTTCCCAGAGCTAGAAATACTTTGAAAGAGCAATCTAGGCATTTTCAAACAAGTCCTTTTTTTCTGTGAACTGGTCCTGAGCTAACAATCAGAGAAGACGGTTAGCTCCCCTCGTCCTGGCTGGGAGACAGTTCTTGGAAATACAGACTGTGCCGTCCTATGGTCAAACAGCGCGTGGTACTTCACTCTGAGGAAAATAACGCAAGCCCGTCCCCTTCAGCAGAGGAAGTAAAAAGAATCTGTACGTTGTAGTTTTGCAGGGGCGGTGGATTGAGAGGGACCATTGTATGATAGACAACAGCTGTGGGATTGTGACTTTACGACCGGTTCAGGGTGCACACTGCACTGTAAATGGAAGCGAAGTCACAGGATCGTGCCGTTTGTCGCAAGGTAAGGCTTGCTTTTTCTGTGGAATGGAGCATTATCATCCACCTGCCTCTGCAAGTTAGAGGCGAGGGCCTACGGAGCTCATACAGGTCTCAGAAACGTAGCTTTCGGTCTCCTGCTGCTGCCTAGCCCTACGAGGTTTGATCCGCAGCTAGAGCAAATAAATGAGCTGACCACAAAAAGCAAAATGAAGACGCAGGTATTGACGTTAAGACCGCTTCTGGCAGCAGTAATTTGTAGCCTTCTGAAAAGCGAAGGCTTGCAGTCAGAGGCAGCGCTGTGGAACGTGGTGGAGCCAGCAGACCGCCGGCGGGGCTTTTTTGGCAGTTACCTTACGTGGTTGAAATGGGTTTGGCCTCTGCTTTATAATGAGTTCAGGTAGAGGGCACCAGCCACTGAGTCACAGGCCACGGTGAATGGATGAGGCTGGCATGTTTTCAGATTATTTAAAAAGAAACAAAAAAATTCCAGCTGTTGGGAACTTGCAGTGATCCAGATTCTTAAAACACTGGTGTGAAAACAAGTTTTCAGCAATGGATTGGTTATGTTTTTGATATTAAGACATGCCAGTCTTTAGTATGACCGGGAATTTACTGATTTACTGAGTAGTTATGTTGGACTTGCAGACGTTACACCAGAGATTCCCACAATTGGTTTGTTTGGATGCTGTCATTTCTGAAAAATAAGTGCACTGCAGCATAAGTGGCAAATTGTAAAGAGCTGTTCTCTGCTTTGTGTCTGTCAGAAAGCTGTTGATCAGAATATTTTTTTTTCAACATACTATTTTGTAGTAGCTTGAATATTTAGTAGTCTGTATCTCACAGTGTAGAAACCTCTGGTATATCTGCTAGGCCCCCTTAGTGTATGCTGTGCTAAATGTTTGATGAATTATGTCTCTGTAGTAATGTTGCTGTCTGTTTACAGGGGCCCTTGTTGTCCTTGGCAAGGTTCATAAATTTAGATTCAACCACCCAGCAGAAGCTGCCATCTTACGACAAAGGAGATCAGTAAGTTCTAAGGCTCTGAATATTTTTTTCCTACTACTTCCATTGATTTCCCTGATTATTTTCCCTCTTAAAAGCAAGCCTGATATAGATAATATCTCTTCACATCATCATATTCACTTGCTTCATTTCCTCCATCTAATGGTCTGTAATGACACTAAACCTTTTGTGAGAGGACACTATTGCTTCTTTCGGATGTGCTTAGCACAAGATAATGCAGATCCCTTGAATAATTTAGTGTTTCCTATTTCTAGTCATGACTACAAGGGGATTGAAACAGAAAGGCTGCAGTGAAAAGACCAATTTAGAATCTTTCCACACTTGATAATTTTCTGAATGATCCTCTTTGCACTATCATTTCAGCATCCAGAATGAGGTGTCCTAGAAGAAATGGAGAATTTACGGGATTAAGTGCCTGAGTGTTATTATCCCTGAAAGAGTTTAGTTGTTGCCTACATCAGAAATAAATAAAATATTTTTTGGTATATTAATCACAGGAGCTAACTGCTGTAAGATATTATTTGGTCAGCTAGTTGAATAATGTTTCAAAACAAAATTAGATCATTTGATAAAATGATTGGCATGCATAATTAAAAATCTCACTTAAAAATGTAAGTTTTCTTTACCTTGTCATGTTGCCAAGTGATATTGGCAAGAAACTTCCTTTTTAAACAGTTTATCGCATAATGACATTTCACACTTTTTGCTCAGCTGTCCTTTTGTATTCACTTTTGTAGCTGAGATAAAATGCTTAGCTTCGACTTGCCTTTGTTCTTTATGTCTTGATTAATGAAACGTAGCACATTATAACAGAGCTGCAAGAAGAGGTGTACTCAGTAGCAAATATTTAATAATTCTGCAAATTAGCAAAGACTAAGCAGAACTATAATGAGATTGTAAAATCACATGGGAGGTATCATGCATATTACACAGCACTGCATGCAGCAACAGTGGTACTATGATAAGTTGGAAGTTCCTGGGTTGCTGTGATATTTTGTTCTTCCTGTTCTCGTCTTGTGTGTTTTGTAGCTTACTGAGCCCCCACCTCTTCTGAGCTGTGGAACTTTGGACTGGCTTAACTTGGATGGAAATTTCACCCGTTCTCCTCACTATCTCCCTTCTTCTCTTGAAAAGTAAGTTGGGGGAAAAAAAAAAAAAACTATTTCTCATATGGGACAATGTCTGGAACCAAGACTTGGTTCAGACAAAACTGAATTGCACACAGAATAGGTCTCATCGTGTTTTCAACTGTTTAGAAGAAAATAAGTGTCCGGGAAAATGCATGGGTCAACTGATTAATTTACAACTTTATAACATCCAAACAACAAACCTCAAATTTTTTTTTATTGGTGTACAGTCAATATTGATGCACAATCAAGGAAATGCCTCTGCTGAGACTGTCAGGCAGTCTTAATTCCGTTTGTTTGTGCATCTGCTTTATAGCTGTTTTGGTTTACAAGATAATCTACTGTTTTTTACACTGTTCTTACCTCAGTGCACAGAATGGGCTTTTCTGGATATGAAGGTAATTATTACCAATTCAGTTCCCCTCTTAATTTGTTGTAGAACTCAAAAGGTTTACTTAATCATAAATTCCCTGTAGCCCAAGTCCATATTGAGCCCTTCATCGCAGAGGGCCATTGTGATTCTCTTTATTTACTTCTCAATTAAAAAAAAAAAAAAAAAGCACAGACCATTTCCAAAATGTTGAAGAGTGGCTTATATTCAGTGTCTCAACCCAGTGTCACAGGGTTTCAAATGATTACTTCACTGAAAATGAAAAGCATTATGAAGTACTACTACTACTGAAGTAGTCTAGTCTTTTGTTTCACTTGAACAGTTTTTTGGCAAGAGTAAACTGAATTGGTCCACTTAGTCTTGCCCTGCAGTAGCCTGTGTAGGTAAACCTGTGTTTCTGTCCGGAAAAGTAGTTTTGCTCTTGAAGGGGACTGAACTGCTTATAATCTAGGCAGCTAGCCTAAGATCTATCGTATGAGAATAAAATGAGATATAAGTGGTCCTTCAACATATGTAGCCTTTGCAAAGACAAGTCAATGTCAAGCGCTAAAAGGTGTGACTGAGGTACTTTATAATCAGTAATATAGCTCTAAATGGACTACAGTGAGTGCTTGTTTGCTGATCAATAAAAAGATGCAACCCAGCCCAGTGTCTCCTCTGTCAGAAGGAGATGCTTAGAGGAGGATACAAGAACATGGTAAGCAAGTGTCTGTGTGTGTATATCTATAACCACACATCACATACACAGTTGACAGTTCTTCTGCTATGCTCTCCCAGCTCCTAGCAAGCTGCATCTTAGAGACTCTCTCTGCTGGAAATTATAATAGCATCTCTGTAATAGTGTTCAGTAAAGTTTTTTTGCCTTCTTTTTGAACCTCTTTATAATTTATTAATTTTATGCTTACAGTCAGAAATGTACAAACCATAAAGAAAACAAATATTCTGCTGAAATAAGGTAAGACAATCATTTAAAGATAACATGTCTAAATTGGGTTGAATTTTTTAACCCCTCTAGTTTTCCCTTCTCCTTTGCTACACTGATTTCCTCAAGGGGAAGATACAAATAGGCTGTAAGCTTTCATTTGGCTTTACACTGAAACTAAAATCCATACTTGCAGTGAATTATAGACAAGTCTCTACAACTGTGGTCTTTTTTCCTGCTTGATGTTGTGCAAATGGTTTGCACCTTTGTAGCATGAGTAACCTGTATTTGGGAGGTAGAACTACAGTAGGATTTACACTGAAACTACCACCAATTTAGAATATGCCAAAAGCCTAAAATATAATAAATTTGATGTCAGTGGTAGGTACACTGAATACCCATTAGAATACTGAAAATTCATTGAACTGGGTTCTCTTTTGATGAGATGCAAATGGCATTATAGAAGAGTCTGAAAACGAAGTCTTGTCATACACTGTGCAAAACCACCCCCCGCAAAACAAAACAGCAGCTGCACACAAAAATCATTCAGAAAATGTTGGGCTTACCTAGGATTAAGTGCTCTTTAATTAGGAAACTGATGGTATTTTGCTTTCTTCTGGAATTTTTATTTCAGAGCATGTAAACATTGTATGTTATGATAATCTTTGCTTACAGTCTCTTGCCTCCTGTGCTGCCAGTATGCTTACATTATTTTTCTTGTCCGTTTTCATGGGGTTGAATTTCATGGGGTGTGAGCTCTAATTTTATGTTAAAACATTTGGGAAAAGGAGAGAGAAAACAAATTTCTACCATTGAACCCAAATATTGAAAGTACAAGCGTGAAACTTTCCTTGAAAAGAGGTGTAGGTCACCGTACTGCATACCTCGTGTACTGTACTCGGAAGAGCCCCAGCAGTTCAGATTTCTAACGCTTGCTGCCAGCCCACAAACATACGTATGCTTGTCAACAGCATCAATCATTGCTTGACCGTATCCCTACAAGTAAGGAGGTAATCAAGTTCTTGCTCCTGTCATTGCCTTAACGCCACACCTGTATGTGAACATAAAGCCTGATTCTGTTCCCGTGCTGGTTGGAACAAAAAGCCAGGAGCAGGTCCGTTAGAGTCCAGGGTACCGCAGTAGAAAACTAAGTGGAGATCAAAACCAGACCCATTTAAAAGGGTTGCACAGCAAGTGAAACGCTGTTCTGGCGCCTACGCTGAATATGAATTTTAGCTGTTTGGAACATGTTTCATCTCTGTTTCCCTGAAAGTGCCTAAACTTCTGAGCTAAACAAAAAATCATCTTATAAGAATATATGAAATCCTACTAACTGGAAAGAAAAAAATGTCTATAGATAAGGCATCTGGTACTGTAGAATACCACAGAATTTTTACTCTCATGTGGCATAATTAACATGTCCAACTAGTGTTTGTAAAAATAATACTCTAAGTTCTTCTTAACAGCTTTCATTTGAGAATTTCATAGTGCTTTATAAATATAAGCAATCTTTTGAATCTCTTAAAAGATCCCTCAAATATTTTATTTCACAAATAAATGCACTATGTCACTTTTAGCAGGTCTAAAACTCACTGCAATATCAAGTATGGTGGTTTAGCAAGGAAACTAGGTGACACTAGATGACGTTGCAATCGTGAGGGGAAGAACCGTGACAGGTTGTTGTCCCAGCTGAACTGGCATGTGGAAGGCAGCAGTGACCTTTGCTAGAGCGGGTCTGCGTCTTGTGCCTGTGCTTCCTTGCCAAAGAGAGAGGCCTCTTTTAGAAGAGTGTTTGAAGGGTTGCTTGATAAAGCTTTTACTTTCTGTTGTTTTGGGAGTTTAGACAAAGAAAAAAGGTTTTTTTTTGCACGGGAAAACAGCAAAAATCAGTTGCAGAGGTGTGGTGTGTGTTTTTTTTTTTTTTTTTTTTTTTAAGTAAACCAGCTCATCAAAAATGTGCATGACATTTTTGCATGATGGTGACTTCCCCGAAGGGGATTCCTCTTTGCGTGCACCTTTCCAAAGGTCTGTTATTTCCTAAGGTTTCTGGCTTTGCTGCTTGTTTTCACTGATTTCTCTGTCCCCGTCTCCTCCTCTAATTTCCCTTCGCTTTGCATTGCGTAACGGGCGTCCGAGGCTGAAGGGAGGTGATGACACAAGGTCTTCACAGCTGCTTCTTCATCGCCCTTCCCTTTGCTTTGGGGAGGAGAAGGGCGAGATTTGAGAGGAGCTTATTGGAGCCTCTGTGCTATGCAGAAGCAGATGCGCTCGGCCTTCTCCGCCGGCCCTGCGCGGCGGCAGCGTGCCAAGGGCCCCGGATTGGACACGTGTGGCAGGGGGAGGATGGAGCGGGGCGAAATGTCAATCAGTGCGTAGGCTCGTAACCCTGACTTGGGATTGCCTGCAGCGCTGGGCTTTGCAAATGTGCAAAATGGCTTGCCAAAAATCTTCTTTTCTGCTTTATTATTAACTCTTCTTCTCCTGGAAAAAATCATCAGTAAAAGAAAAACGGACTTGAGCCTAGGCAGGCAGAAGAAAGGGGATGCTAACGTGACTGAGATTTTATTTGAGAAAACTGATAACTTTCTGCTTTAGGCAGCCCCGCTTCTCAAGTTGTTTTTTCTTTAATTTTTTCTTTCCCTTGAGTCACTCTTTGAGCCTAAAGGACTTGGTTGCAGAAAGTGTTTTGCCTCAGCACAGAGCTATTGCTGCCATAGTTACTGCAAGCTGCATTATGCTGTAGGAGCCGCCAGCCTCTGCGCCAGCAGTGCAAGTGTTTGGGGAAGAGGGGAGGAGAACTGCACAATAGGATCCCAGAGGGCTGACGACAAAACAGGCTGGAGAAAATGTGGATTTACAAATGGCTCGTTTAGCGTGCGTCATGCAAACTTTGGGGAGAGAAAGATGAGATGGAAAAACAGCCCAGCAGTGTTGGCATAATGTGAAGATTTTCTCAGTATTTTGTTGTTACATTTAGTTTAAGGTTGGTGTCTTTCTGTTGCTGTCGTTTTGCTTGCTGTTTTTAAAGGCTGACTTGGAGGAGGGGTAACTGTAGACACTTCTTGCTGCATGTGCTGCACCTAGGCATCTGCATGTGTTATGAAATTCTAGGCAGGGATACCTCTGCCCTAAAATACCTAGGTATTTTAGTTGATTTTTCAATATGCTATATGCCATAGTGTGCTGGTCCTGTGAAAGCAAGCTTTTCATGTATGAGAAAAGTCTTGATAGCTTCAGAAACGAAGCTGATTGTCTTATGTCTGTCCTGAGGTGGTGTTATTTTATTTCCTGCTAGAACTGCACTGAGCGCAAGTTGTTTACGGGGAAGGCAGGCAGGCAAGCGGCGGCAGAAATTGGGCCGTGCTTCGCGCCTGTATCACAGGGGATTCCTGTATTTCAGATCTAAATCTTATCAGTACATCTGGTTTAAGACATGTTTTAGAAGAAAGAAATGAATGACCTCCTCTACCTCTGTTTCAGAATATGGTTATGGTTTTTTTGTAAATTAGTGATATATGGGTTTAGTTTAATTATTCAAATATTCAAATATGTATTTCACACACTGATTGATCTTTAAATTGTCTAGTTGGTGATTCAGCTACCAGGCTTTTGGCGCCATTGCCACTTCATTTTTAAGTTTAGTTTGTGGTGTTATTTTCACAAGCCAGCCGAGGGTATGTTGACATGACATGATATGTTCAAAAGTACAAGGGGAGTATTCTGAATTCATGTTCTTGGTTTCAGCAGTGTCTGTGAGAGGCAGGTCCGCATCCCAAACCCAAACCAGCCAGTCATTTTATTCTCTAGAGCACTAGTCTCACCACCATTTAAAAAAAAAACAAACACCCTCCATCTTCTGCCATACCTGTATTACATAAGTGGCAGTGCATGAATTTTCATTATCTGGTGGTTCCACTTGAGAAAAACCATCTTTAAGAAGTGACTTCATAAAGCTGTTTAATGTTCAATCTCTATGTTCAGGTATTGGGACCTGTCTTTACTGCCGTGCCTGTTTTTGTTTTGGTTTGGTTTTGGGTTTTTTGGGTTGGGGTTTTGGGTTTTTTTTTTTTTTTTTTTGGTAATGTTAAAAGTTAGGTACAAGACAAAGACACTGAAATAGCAACAGAACTGCAGCTAGGATATATGCCTTCACCAAGGGTAAGACAACAGTGCATCTACTTTTACTATAGAAACTTTAACCCTCGAGAGAGCTAATCGTACCAACCAACTACATTGTCAAAACATAGGCTGTAATAGTACTGTAACGGTTGCGGTGCTATGTCTTTTTCCAAGGTTTAAAGTGAGGTATATGGGTATGCCTTTGTAATTTTTGCCTTTAGGAGGCTTAGTCAGAGCGCAGAGCTGGCAACAATAGCGTTAGTTTGGGCAGCCCAGTGCTGTGCTGCGAGTGCACACAAACACGCCTGTAGGAAAGGATCTTGTGGTTTCGTGCGAGTTCAGCAAAAAGCCACTACCACGCACAGCAGCAACTACGTGAGTGCTGCTGAGAGCAGCAAGCAAGCCCAGCTTTGTGGGCATTGTTTGCAGTGTTTATTCTCTGATGCTTTGTAATATGGAGGCAGGGGGCCAGTGCTATTGGAAAGCATGTGAAAACCCTCTCCCGACTGTAAACAGATGTTACCTAACGACCTCTGCAGAGCATTTTGAGGTCTCTGGGTTGAAATGCAACATCGAATTGTTTCATATACTTGAATGTTCTGGGTTTCGATTTGTAAACGGTTTAAAATGCTATAGGTTGATTTGTGGCAAAGGATCACTGAGAGCAAAAAGTCACAGTCAGGAATAACGTAAGAGATCTTATAGAAAGAATTTTATTTTATCTAGTTTTAGAAAAGAGTTGCGGAACAAGAATTCTTTGTCTACTGTTTTATTATCAAGCTCTGCTTTTTCAGCCTTATTGGCACTGACTTACTCAATTTCCTCAATCTCATATGCAATACTGATGATGGTGATAAATGAATAGAAATCAGCTCTTCTAATACTGAATTGGTTTGGCATTTGCTAAGGTTAATAGATCCTCAGTCCTCTTGGATGAATATACCTGCTGCTTTCAAGCATCTCTAAGTGATTTGCCCAAGGTCATGCAATCGTCTGGTGACAATTTTAGGCTCAGATTTTTTCAAATATCATACCACCATAAGAATCAGAGGTTTCATATGTCTGTTAGCAAAACAGGCTAAAGAATACCTCATCCTCAGAGTGTGGGCAGAGATTTAACATTTACCAGTGCTATTAGGGTTTATTACTTTTAATATGTCAGCAAGAAGAGACCAGCTGACATTAAGACTCTGTTACATTGAGTAGTGTATAGGCATCAGAGGCAGTCCTTGCCCTGGAGAGCTTGTGACCGAAGTACATGAAAGCACAGAGGTAGCATGGCTGCTCCGAAGTGAGCGGAAGAGAGGTCTTCTGTCTCCCATCAGCGCTTTAACCTCCTAGATTATATTGCTGCTCCGTTGCACTTCCCTTGGAAAATAAGGAACATATCCTGGAAACTTAATTCAGCGAAAGCTTCCCTCAGAGCTACCAGTAAAACCATGGGAGCTTTTTCTAAATAAGATCCTTCACGTTTACCTGTATGTTCAAAAAGTGATTCCTCTTTATTTAACCACCCTACCTTTAACCTCTGAGTTCAGCCCTCAGAGGCTGATGGCAGTACAAACATGAGAATCGGGAGACAGAGGTCTGCGTTACACAGCAGTGATGTTTTGTGCTCTTTAGGCCAGATGTAGTTTTCTGGGGGTGGAAATGGCTTGAGATTTGTAATGGACATGCAGAGTCGTTCAGTGCAGTAGTAAGTGTGAATTCAAACCTACTTCAGGTAAATGATAAGCTAGAGATCTCAGTCTGATTACCCAGGGCTCAGTTACTGTTTGTTTTGGAGGAGAAATTACAAATTAGATGGCTGACATCTCAGCAGTCAAACCAAGGACTGAATGGATCGTGGAGCTGCCCGTTCTTGTTGTAATTTGTCTTTGTGGGTCCCAAAGAGATGCAGACCATTTAGCAGATGGCAGTGACAAAGTTGGCACTCTGGCCTTTTGCACAATATCAAATTAATCGAACAGAAGATGTTACTCTTCCACTATTCCCACTAGCGTTACATTTAAATAAACATTAAAAACACACTAAATCTTGTTTCTCTCAGGTGAGTGGAAGAGAAAGTCATAGTAATGTTTTAAATTATCAAGAATTTTAAGGCCTTTATGAAGTGAAGATTTCCTTGTGCTTGTTAAGAAAGTGAAAATAGATGTTCTGGTACAGGTGTTCAGGGAGAGTTGTAGAATTTGGCTGCTTAGTTGTTTCCCCTGGTAATCTAGCACACAGAATCCAAGTTCTCCTTTTGAATTAGAAGAATTTGCTGCTGTAGAAATGACTGCCACAAACACATGCTCAAGGTTCTAGAGAGAGATGGTCAGATACATTTCTACGCATCAAAGGCCAACTGCTCTTCTCATGCTTTTGAAGATGGCCTCAGTAGTGCTAATGATTTTATAAACCACGTGGTGTCTCCATAGCATTCCCTCTGAAATATTTTTGTTTTCTTTAGAGCTTCAAGGACTCTATAAGCTTTGATATCTTTGTTCTCCTTAAAAGAATAATGAATATACTTTAATACCTCATTGAATTCATTAGTAAAATATTCTTTAAAAATCTTTTTCAAGACTTAGAAATTTAATTTACTGAGGTTACATAAAACAATATGGTGTTTAGAAATGAAAAGGCAAGCAGAGATCATGCATCACCTCCATAAATACAACTTCAGTGTGAAGAATTTGCTGATATGTAGAAAGGTAGAGTATATGTCCCCTTTTCCAGAGTGTCAATGGATATCCAATACTACCATGCATCAAGCTAAGACTTATTATTAAGCTTATTTCTAAGCTAAGATTACTTTGATTGTTACAAAGAGAGAGAATGTGTGTGTATGTATATAATTTTGGCACGCAGTTGGGAAACAAACTTGTTGGAAGGGTTTTAAGTGAGTTTTTCACAAGTTAATTACTATTCTGATTATAATTCTGCTTCAAATATAAAAGCAGTAATCTGATGTAGTGGTAGCATCCAACAGAGAATTGGGTGAGACATGGATATAAAGAGATAAAAAACTTTATATAAAAGAAAGAAAACTTTTTGAGATATAAAACTTTGTGAGATGCATCTCTTTTTTCTTGGTACTGCCAGTAACTTTCAGTGTAATCTCAGCAATTCCTGTAACCCTTTCTAGGTTGAGGATTTTTGATCTGTAAAGAGAAGAACGTCTGTCCTTTCTGTAAAGCACTTTGAAGTACTTAGATGAAAAATACCCTATATTACAAAGTTTTATAACATATAAACAGCCCCTCTCCCCAAGTTTCTTTTATGAAGATCTGCAGCAAAATGACAAGTGATAATATGTTTTAATTTATTTTTGCTGTTATCTCTGTGGTGATGGAATTTTCTGTTTCATCATGAGAAAGTTCATGCTTGCTGACTTTTTCTGATGCGTAAGGAGTTGTAGCCTACTGTGACATGCATGTACACAGCTACTTTACCATCATGAGTTTTTGGCATAATGCACTCCTATTGAACAAAACAATTTCTTGAATGTTGTCAGTCTGTCTCCAGTAAGATGACTTGTTTTCTTACAAATGTCTGGTATTTTTTTCTGGTTTAAATTCACTGTCAACATTTCCAACAGCAGAGAAATAGATGCTGTGCATGAAGAGTACAAGCAGAAACTGAGAGACCAAGAAGCTTTCCACAGAAAACAAATTCAACGGCAACAACTCTACGTTGAGGAGTTGAAGCAGCAGATCCTTGCAGGACAGATCAAAGCAGAGCGGGAACTAGAAAATGACCAAGCGCTAATCAACCAGCAGATCCAAGAAAGTGGGTGCCTGCCTCCTCCTCTCTCCCACTTCCCTTCCATTACTGCCTTCTTTCATTACTCATGGTGTTTTTGTCCTATTTATGCTTTGTATTGTGGGTGGAACTGTTATTACCACTTATTACTACTTTTCTCCTTTAATTGCCTTTCCCTTGAGAGCAGCTATGAAGCTTTGATTAACAGGAATAAGGGGCCTTCTTTGCAGTGCACCAGCAGCACTGTTGAATCAGTTTTGCAGGCCAGTGCTGAGAGCTGGCGTGCTGCTCCCCTGTGTCACTGAGCCCTCTGAGACAACTGATACGTGGAGCTGCAACACGTCGCGTGACGTGCTCTCTCTATGCGTTTCGTTAATGATGTCACCGGGAAGGTACCATGGACCGTCTTCACATGCTTTTAATGAATTCCATTCTGAAACTGATGGTCATAGGAGAAATAATTGCATAGGACCACAAGTCAAAAATTTTGTGTGGTTGCCATGTGGTTTTTAAACAGTAAAACCAAAGAAAATACATCAGAGATGTAGGTGAGACATTGAAGTACTAAGCTAAAATCCCAGCCCCAGTTAAGGGGAGGATAGTTTTGCCACTCTTTAATATAGTCAAGGTTCCTGCCACAGCCCCCAAAACAAACCCCAAACATACAAACAAGAAACTGGTGCAGCACTTTTGCACTGTTGCGGGATAACTTATTTGGCCTCTCTTAAGATTATTGTCTTTCACCTTTTGACAATACCATTACCTCCTATACCAAAGACTTTTTGATTTTCTTTAGTTTTCAGCAAGAGTTTGTTTTGAAGATTTTGAAATGCGTTTTAATTCATTTTAGGTTAAAGCTGCATTGTCGTTGTTGTCTGTCTGCATTTTCCAGATAGAAGTTGAACGGGGTGGGAAAAATCCTCCTTTTTTTGAGGGTATTCATTCACTGTTCTTCCAGGACTCTAGGATCCTCAGTGATGTGCTGTGCATATGTTATGTAAGCCAGATTAAAGAAAGTTACTGTTCTGATGCTTACCTGAAAGTAATTGGGTAACATATTGGTGTTACTAGTCTGACACAGACTTCAGCTGTATGCAAACTACGCCCTGAAAAGCTTGAAATCATTTGAAATCTCAAAGGATTTCAAGCTGAGGGATCCTTTGAAAGCCTCAGCAAAAGCTGACGTATCTTTTGTAATCTGCCTTATACCACTGTTCATGCAGTGCCTTTCCCTCTAGATGCCAAACAACATTTTGAATTCAGATTTCAACGATACTGGTTTCTTAGCTGATTTCAAAGGAAGCTGAATTGAATGTACAGAAGTCTGACAGCCTCTTGTTCTCCCTTTTCTTATGCTCCTCTTTCTTTCCATTTGTTCCTGTTGCCTCTTAGGAACAACTAAGTTATGGCCAACTAGGGAGAGACGTGGTCTGATAAACTTGTCAAGATATGTTGTGGTATATCTTTATAGAAAATTCACTAGCCAGAGAAGCCGATTCTTGCATATACAAACAGCTAGATTTGGGATAGAAATGATACGTTACGAGGCTCCTTGTCCAGCTACTGGTGTGACTACTGTTTGCTATGCTATGTCTTGCTCTGGCATCCACAATTTAAGAAGATATTGCAAATTTGGGGATGGGCCATAAGAGTGATTACAGCATAACATAGGCTAGCATAGAGTAACACAGGATTCTGAGAGCTCTCTCTGCTTACCTTGATCATGAGCTGGCTAGAACTGATTTTATCACAATAGTAGGTACAAGGCTGTGATAGCATGAAGAAAAAAAATGCATGTAGAGATTCTGTTGCTGGAAACTGAAATGAGACAGATTTGGGTTAAAAATAAGACGTAGGTTTTATTTACCCTGAAGATGGTTAACTAGTGATGTTAGATTTTTTTCCATTGCTGAATTTCTGTTTCAAACCAATACTGCACTAAAAAAAAAAACAACTTGAATTATTTGTAGGAAGTTCTCCACTGTGTGTTATGCAAGAGCACTAAAAGCTACATCAGTGATCAGATTTTGAATGGCAAATAGCTATGTCAGAGGGTGGAGCCCCAACCTATTTGGAGAGGCATTTGGTACCGTCAGTGACTCCTTGCCCCTACAGCTGCTGCTTCGCACGCAGATGCATTCAGCAAGGCTTGATTCGGTGGGGTTGGGCTCCCTCTTAAAGAGCTTATAGACTGATTTGGGAACATTTTAAATGTCAAGATGTTTTTGGCCACTGAGATAAGGTGGTAGCAGTGCTCTCTAGTTTTCTTCTAATGAATCATTTGATCCACGTTTCTTGACAAGCAAAGTATGCCTGATACAAAGGCACATTTCCTACTTGGCAAAATCTGCTATTAGCTCCTGGAAGAGGAAGATGATTGTGAATTTTTGAAGGTTTGTCAGACCTAAACTCATGTGGTCTGTCGTCTTTCAATTATGTCAACCACAAGGAAGAGTTTGAAGTGAAAATTGTGGAGATGGGATGTAGCAGAGGTAGAAGTAGGCTATGTAGGTAGTACAGGGAACCAGGAAAGCTCCCTCAAAGCATTTTTATTTTGCAACTCTGTAGACTTGTTCTCTGCTCCTATCCAGTTCTGCTGTTTCAGCTGCGTTCATGAGAAGCTTAGCCAGGGAGGCAGTTTTTGCAAGCCAAATATAAATCTTCAGTTGGCAGTTCACCAGAGTGCTCTTGCCTTTTCTGCTCTCTCTGTTCCTCAGGTCCTGATGGAGGCGAGTTTGTGAGCAGTTTAATTAGAATCTCGGAGCTTGCAGCTCTGTTACAGCGAAGCTCATCTGCCAAATTTCCTGCTTGCTAGAAACACACCAGAGTACAGATCTCAAGATAAAGAGTTGAGAAAACTGTTCTCTATATAAAAGTTAAAGGTGTTATTAAGAAAAAAACTTGTGATCATGACTAAAATGCTTCCCTTTTATCGACAGAGTAACCACAGAGTTGGAACCCCTACCTCCGTGCATGTGCTGTGCGCGTTGCTGCCAGTGCAAACAGGGCAGGAGACTCCTTGTAGCAGGAATCACTAGCGATGTTTAACAAGATCAGTAGCCACCAAGCAAGTGATCCTAGCGATGGCTATGCACTAATTATAGTTAAATTTTTTTTACATTACAGAAACTACCACAGCCCAAAATTCCTCTCTCGCAGCTCAGCTGCCTTATGTAAAGCTACAGGTAGCCCTCATTCATCATGTCAAACTTAAACACCTCTTATTTCCTAACCCCCTAAATAGGTAAAGTTAGTTCCTCAGTAAAGGACTGCAGACTGAAGCTGAACCCAGCCAGAGAAAGCATTGCTGTTGGGAAGACAGAAGTGTTTTGAAATGCTTATGTCCTTAAAAAATGCACTACTTGTGAAGAAACCTTGTCTGTGATTTTTATACTGCTGTCAGCTATGGATACTTTTTGATTTCCTCTGTGCATCTGAGTATGTATCTATTTATAGCAGCATAAAAATGAACAAACTCTGCTTCTTTAGGAGATCATGTCCAAGTCATGAGATATAATCTAAATCTATAATTGTTGCAGTCCATTATATCTGAGATTGAGGCCAGTGCACCCTAAAACACCTCTAAGCACATCCCCTGCATGGAATAAAGTGGTCTTGTTTGAGAATTTAAACACAAATCAGCCTTATGTTCTGTGCTTTTTACTGCTTTCCCATTGACTTGCAAAGATTAGGTTCTTTGAATATTTAGAGAAGTCACAGTATGCAAGCAGATGTAACTTTTTATTGTCAAAACTGAAATAGTTGGTATCAAATGGACAAACTGTGAAGCCTACAGGCCCTTCTGCTAAGGAAGAAATAACAAACTTCAAGCTAATTAAAAGTGAAGAACAGTTACATTGAGATTAACTTAATGAAGTTAATCAACTGATTTGTGAGAAGAGCATATTTGTTTAGCATTTATGAAATCATTGGGGACATGCGTGAAAGGGGAGATGCTAACTCTCTGTATGGAGTGGAGTGGTGATTTTATGAAAAATATGTATTGACTGGTGATAGGAGTCTTGTCTTGTTCATCCTGGCAGGTAAAGGTTGTGTTAGTTTCACCTGCACAGTTGCCATGAGAGTATTTGATTCGTTTCCAGTACGTTACCTACCAAGGTGCTCATGTATGGGATAAGTAGGTTTCAGTCAGATGTTTTGGCAACTGCTTGTTGGCGCAGATGTAGTTGCAATAGGTAGCAGATTTTGTGATTATTGCTCTGCCTCAACCAGACAACACTCAGTGTTTGTTGTTGCATGGGAGGTTTCCATCTGAAGGGTTTAGAGAGGACGGTAGAACTGGCTGGCAGGTAGCTACTGAGAGGCTCCCTTACAGCATCATCTCAAACCCACTCCTACAGCTGCGTGCACATCCACAGGCCCGGCTGTAGCTGGCAGCTATCCCTGGAAATGAAATACGTCCTGACTTGAGTGAGGAGAGGTCGAGCCTTCAGGTTTCAAACTGGTTTACTGAACTTGCCGCTGATAAGAGCAAGCACAGAATTTGCTGTTTTTCTGGGCTGAACACAAATACCCTTAGCCAGACTTAAGTTCTCCTCATTTTCAGCATGCTGAGATAAACAAGAGAAAATAGTCTGCATGTATTTTTTTGTTGGTTCAGTCAAATTATATCTGCTAAAGAGTAAAGGATAGATCTAAGAGGCACAGACAGAAATGTTCATTTTAAAATAGTTGTAAAACGCTCCAACACTATGATGAGCGGTTGATAGCACTTTAAGATTGCAATTTACCAGTTGCAGTCTTATTAGCATGTTTATGCAGTTCAGTTTCCTATCTTAATATAGAGAGGCTGTATTCAGCTCTGTATGACAGTCTCTTCCAGTTCCCTTGAAAACTCTGTTCTCAATACACATACATTAATTTCCTAAGTCACACGTGCAAACCTTAAAATGTGGCTGTAGAATAATTAAGGCAGAAGTAGTAGCGTATATCACAGTAAAAAGCTACTGGAGTCATAGTTCCTTAATGTGAAATTATACCATCTGCATGAAAATGCACAGAATTGGACTTAGACCCTTTAAACATTTCCATTTTAAGAACAAAACTGAGATGATGTTTGAGTATAATCTTTGAGAAATTGATTGTGTCACTCTGCATCAATTTGGAATATTTCATTTTTTGCTTACAAACAAGGTCTTGTCCACCAGTTCCCCTTAGCCTTAGCAGCCAAGCCCCTACTCGTCCTACATTCTTGCAAGTGGCCGAGTCCTTATCCCAATGGAAAGGCTTTCAGTAACGTGCCGTAATGATACGTTTTTCTCTGCGTCTTGTGAAGACTTTGCTCTGCTGCCTAGAAATTCTTTTCTCAAATGGCCTCTCAAGGCTGATTAAATTAAGAAACAGAATAACCATAATTTTTTTTCCTATTATTTTTACTTTCTTTCAATCATTTTGTTTACAGACCAGCAGTGGCTTATAAATGAGAATAACCGACTGGCTGCCCTGCAACAGCAACAGAGGGAATTTGCAGTGCAGACAGAATCTACACTGTATGCAGAAGCTGAGGTACAGAGTACTGTTGGGCTGGAAACCTGCCCTTCCCTGCTAGAGCAGAACCAGAAGAGACTGGTGCAGCTGGAGCTCTTGCGAATACACGCCTTAAAAAAGGCAGAAAGAAATATAAGACGGAAAAAGGTCAAATTCCAGCTGGAAAGGATAGTCAAAAAGCAGAAGTTACTGGAAGCCAAGCAAAACCTAGAGCAGCTGGAGGCTAGCTGCTGGCTAAACGAAGACAATGTGAAACAATCCCAAGTCCTGAACCAACATATTGCAGCAGCCTCTTGCGATTGTCAGCTGGAAAAGCGAAGGAAGTCATTGGGTTCAAGTTCCTTGCAACACAGGCGGCATTCACTCTGTTACCTCCGTCTGCCCCACGTACCCAGGTAAGTTAACGTCAATAGATTCCTCTGGCACTTTTTAAAAGTAATTTAAATTCAAGATATTTTCACCGGCCACCTATAACCCAGAATGCCTTTCAACTTACTGAAACAATCCTAAAACTTGTGGTATCACCAATCTTACAATATTGTATATCACACTGGGGCTCTGTGTCACTTTTGCTAAGATCTGTACCTTGCATTCCCTGCTTAGCCTTCTGACGTTGTCTTTCTCACTATTTTTTTCTTTCCTCTCTCAAGCATTTCTGCACATTTTACCTCAGTGTGAATGTTTTATAGAACTGGTTTAACTCTCTGTTCTTACCTTGTTCACACTGTTGGTAAATACTAATTTATGCATGATTTTATCTTGATTATGGTCAAACTCTTCTCTTAGAATATTTATATCTCTAGGGTGATTCTAGTTTGGACTTTGCAGCTGGCCAGCTTTTCTCCAGCTAAATACACCTCCCTTCACAGTGTTAGAAAACTGAGGTGCTAAAAGTGCCTACCACAACATGTTCCAGTGGACCTGGATGGTAGGAATAGCTGAACTCTGCTAAGTGGATTTCTATGACTTAGAACTATCCTCTGTTTTTAACTAACATCTGCAGCTACTTAAGCTTACATAGAAAAATACCATATCTCTACTTTAGCATCAAGCCACTCGTTTGTGTCACATGAAATATTTTAGGAAGTGTAGAGGACTATATGGTTAATGATAAAATTTTTTTTATTATTATTATTCTCTCCTAGAAGTTGCTTTTGAAAGCCGTTAAGATTGCTGCTTCATGTGTCGCTACTCTTACCTGCAAGACATTACTGGTGTGGAAGCATTTTAAAGTACATTATTCAAGTGAACATTAGGCTTTTTCTTCCTTGTTTCCCTAGCTGTTTGTTGAAGAGGGAGACTGTCTCGGAGTTATCTACCTCACCAAATACTGATCAATGCTGTGAAGGCAGTCCATCAGGGAAGCTGTCATCTGTAGAATATCTTTACAGAAAAGCTAAAGACGTTTCCGGGAGAGATGACCTTAATGATGAAAAAGGTACCTCCTTTCCAGTCCAGAGGCAGCTAAGTGAAAAACAAAAAGTATCCTCATTTGGAAATAAAAAAGGAGCAGAAAAGATCGCTAATGATTCAGCTGTCATGGATCATATTAACAGAATTGATCAAAAAATTGAAAAGTTGGATGACAGCCCAGGGGAAACTGGATCTCAAAACCAGACCTCTAAAAGTTGCTCTCCTGATCATTTTAAAGAGAAAAATGAACCTGAAACCTTTATTACAGGAACAAGAATGATGAAAGCAAAGGTGTTAGGAGATTTAAGTCAGCCTGTAAGCAGATATAGAGAACAAAATATAGCTCAGATATCCAATAAAAAGACTAGAATGGATATCAATGCAAAAGGCCACAGTTCTTCAGAAAACTTTCCTAAAGAAATGATGAAAACAGAGGTGTACGGAAAGCCACCATCACCGCACCTAAGCCAAACAGCAAAGAATTTGAAGAGAGTGCCAAACTCAGTCTGGCCAAGTTGTGAGAAACGGCAAGAATTTCTGATGGCAGCAACATCAGTTGGAAATCTCACCAAGATGAACACACAGGCACCACTCTGTTATGTTGAAAAAAAATGGCACAGTGCTGAGATGTTGAGTGCTGGAGTGTCCAAAACAGTGGCAGATGTGCTAGGGAACTGGCAAGAGGATGAGGAAAATGAGATTTCTGATACTGACAGTTCTTACTCTGTAGATTCTCTCTCCTGTGCTTATGCAAAAGCTTTCACAGAGAAACTGAAACAAGAAGATTTTGACAGGAATAAATGTCTCGCCAATCCAGAAGATTCTGAGAGTGATGACAGTCAAATGTCACAAGATTCTCTCGTCGAAAAGGAAAATAAAGCCAAAAAGCAAAATAAAAGCCGACTTCACAAGTTAAAGGCCCACAATGAGCCAGCTAAGCTTTACCAAAGCAGAACTGATCATCATGTTTCATCTTTGGTGACATCATATGCATCGCGTAGGAGACTGGGAAAAGCGGAAAGAAGTTTTTCTCTGGACAGCTTGGCTGATGGAGAAGAGATGCCAGCAGAAGAGCTGATAGAAGAATCCAAATCTGATTCATCTGATGAAATGCCAGCAGAGATTTTTTGGAAGTTACAGTCTCCTAGGTCACCAACTATACAAACTGAGGAAGACCATGAACTCAAGACCTGTGACAGAGATGCAGAAGGGACAAATTATGATCTGAAGCTAAGCAGCTCCTTTTATTTGGATACTGAAGCACAGCCTGCTTCCAGTAATGCTTGCAAGCAGTTGCTGAAGGAGATAAAGGTCTCTTTTGTAGAACAAGAAAGATCTCTTGATAGAGGATTGTATTACACAAGTGGAAATCCATTGCTTACTACTGGTGCTTGGCCTTCATGTGACTTGAAGGGTGAAATAAGTAGCCCCAGAATCACAGCACCTTCTTCCCAGGAAAATTTGGAATTTCAAGATGCTCATCTGTGCCCTTTGAGCAAACCAGAGGGTTGGTTGAAGAAAGATGATCTGAAACAGTCAGCTGCTGAAGTGTCTTTTGTTTCTGGCACAAAGCAGATAAACAGCATTACTCATTTATCACATGGTATAAATGAAATAAATGCAGTGTTCTCCTCTGTCACATCCGAAGTACCTTTACCTGAAACTGAAACAGCAGCAGATGCAAGCAGAGTTTCTGAGAATGGATCATTAAATAGGACTCTTAAAGGATGGGCAAACTCTGATGAAAATACTTTCTTGGAATCTCAAGGTGTAATGTCCTCATTTGTTAGTTCAGTAGGACCAAGCTCTACTTTTCTTCCTATTTCAGCAAAACATGATTATTGTGAACATTCAGGGTCAACTCATCCTGAACATGAACAACTCAATGAATTACCTACTTATCGGTCTACCACAGAAAGCACACAAACATTCAGCTGTTTGGAAAGCACCTCCACTGCAGACTGCTTGTCACCTGCGTCTGGAAAAGAAGAGGATTCTCTCCCCACAATTTATCCAGCGCTGCCAAAAGATCATAATCTGAAAAAAATACCTTTTATTTCCATGTTGCCTGTGCATGTTTTGGAGCAGAGAAATGGCTGTGTAGATGCAGATTTAGAAGAAGATTTCTTCAGAACTATTGAAAAAGATGACCTAGATGATGACTGTGGTAACCTGATGGTAGAATCAAAGATAACAGATTCAGACACCAGAAGTGCACCGGTCTGTGCCCCTGCCACTGGATCTTCTACAGAACTTGCTCTTAATATGGCCTCAACACAGACATCTACAGTAAAACAACTACAATTTGGAAACCATGAGCAACCCTTTCCAAGAAGGGAAATACCAACATGTTGTGATGAGGGTTTCTTTCTCAATGACACAAGCTGCTATCCAGTAAGCAGTTATGCGCTTCCGACATTCGTTGGACAAGGAGCAGAATCAGCTGTTACGGTAGGTCTCCTCAGGTCTGGGGAAAGCAATTTGGAAATGATGCAAGATATGGATTATGAACAAATGTCTGCAGAAGAAATAACAGACACAGATTTTTCTTCAGAGAAAATAACATACCAATGCAACCCTTCAGTTTTTGCTCACAGTGCAAGTTATGACCAATCTGCCACACCAATAGCAATATCTCAAAAAGAGATAATCTGTATGAAAACAAGCACAGACAGCTTGACAGAGATTGTCTCAGAGATGCCTTCATTCAGAGATAATGAAGAATATGAAGCAAAGGATGAAGACTTGTCTTCATTAAATCATTATGAATTTAAAAGCAAAATTGTTTTAAAAAATTACTCCCATGAATATTCACTAGCAAACAGTCCTGCAAGTTGCTTACTCCAACATATTTCAGAAGACTCTACGTTGTGCGCTGATAACATAAGAGAAGAAAGTAGTGAAAGTAAAGAACACAATATCTTGAGTTCTCAGTCTGTAGTTCAGGAAGAACTTTCATCCAAATATAAAAACCTAGTGGTAAATGAGGTAGGTTACCTCACAGTGAACACAAATGGGAAAGGCACTGAGCTCTTCCCTACTGCTATTTCTGAAAGTACAAATAATTTGCTCCCAGAACCTGATTCAGGCAAATTTTACCAAGCTGCAACGAAAGCTAATCTTCTTCAAAGTGCTTCTGAGACTGAAAAATATGATAAACTATTGGAGCATGTCACAACAGTGAAAGGAGATTGTGATGACAGATCTAACCTGACTATAGAAGCTAGTGCCCCAGAAAGTTGTTCAAGGATACATTCTAACTGCTTTCGCACAACATGCTGTTCAAAATCAACAGGGCAGAAAAACAATCTGCTTGGGACTGATATTTCTGTGGAATTTGATGCAACCAGTGTGTTGGAAACAGAAATTCAGAACAGATCTTTACTTGATTCAAGAGAAGAGAAAGAAGTCCTTTTTGAAAGCGATTGTCCAGAGAACATTTTGCTTGTTGGAGAGTATGTAAACTCAGAGTCTGGAAGAGTATTTGAATACAACACAAATGCATTAGCTGCTGTTTTCCAAGAGGAAAGTCCTTATAGGAATGAAAAATGCAAGTTTTTTAAAAATGCAGAAACTCATTCAGAAGAAACTATGGTTCCTTATCAGAGTACAAAAGAAGAAATGACAAAATTGATCAATGCTGTAATCAAACTAGAAGAAAATACATTGGGAAGTAAATCCAGACAGACGGAAAGTTTACATGACTCCCCAGGAGTCGAAGTCCACAGTGAAACTGAGGACAGGAGCAGAGAGAATTTTAAAGGCAGCCTAACTCAGAATCCAAAGAAACCTATTGATATTGTAGCTTGTGGAGTCCAGTGTGAGTTTTATACAGACTTGTGCCTGACAGCAGCACGTGAAGAGACAGAGAAAGAGGAATCAAAGGTAGTAAGCACTGGTGTAGAACACACTCAGGAATCAAAAGCAGTTGTGTGTTCTGATAGCTGTCTTCAAACAAGTAGCTTTTGCCAAAATGAAATGAGAGACAAAACAGAAATAGGTATTTATTCATCAGAGCTTTCTGTTGCTGCCCAAAACACTTCCTCAGCCACAGCCTCCAGCACCACAGATTTTCCTCAGAATACTTCAGACTTCCTTGATGCTTGTGAAGGGCTTTTACAGAGAAACACAACAATGGAGAATGTGTTTAATACAGAGGATAGAGCTGCAACAGTAATAATGACAGGTAGGCAAGGAAATAGTTTAGAAGAATCTGAAAATGAAAAACAAGTAGGTTCTAGCAATTTAACTGAACATTGTACACCAAACAGCTTAGCCCATGAAAGCTTTTATCAGGAAAACAAAGTTAATGGATGTGAAGTGACTGGAAGCAAAGAACAAACTATCATGACAAACACTGAGGGGTTGGTTGTTACAAGGCAAGAAGACATATGCACAGATGAAAATGTTGTTTTATTTACTGAAGAGACTCCAGCTGTACATCAGATGTATTGTGACAGAGATGATGAGGAAATTTTAAATCAATCTGAGATCCCTGAAAGATACCTTACAGCTTCAAGACTAGAACAGAATACTCTGTCAGTAGATGATTCAAGGTTAACAGAGGACCACCATGTTCCTATTGAAATGAGTGAAGATAGTGGCTCAATGAACTCTGCTATGGATATAAAAAACACAGTGATTAAAGACATCAAGGTACATGACTGTTTAGTAGATGATAGTACTAGAACAGACCAATGCAGAAATGAAGGAGAATCTAAAAGTCTCCATGTTAAAGAGGACAACCATATGTATATGAGTTGCTCTGTGGAAAATGTTGAGGATGGCAATTCAGAAAACTTGAATGTAAATATTGTTAGAAGTAGCCCTGATATTTGTGAATTGGATCCAGTAGGCTCCAGAGTTGAGGAGAAGGAGAAAGTGCATTTGATAAATCTAGAGCAAGTAGCCAAAGCAGAGAGAGAAAAGCAGATGTTTGCAGAAGAGAGAGAGGAGGTAGAACTGATCATTCTACAAAATCTGAATGAACTGTTCCCTGAAAGCAAAGACAGCTGCCAACTGACACATGATGATAGCAGATTAGATGAAATTTTAAGAGAAAGCCAGTGGGTGTCTACAAGCTTTTCTAGAAATAATGAAAACACCAGCAAGCGACAAAATCCACCAGCAACACTAAAGTCTACTGAAAAAATTCAAGAAGATTCACTTAAAGACTCCCCATGCCAGTCTGTAAATCATCTTTTATACCCTGGAGTAAGTGACAATTCCTATCTTGTTCAAGATGTTCCTACTGCATTGAAAGGACATACAAAACCATCTGACAGCAGTGTTGGAACGGGAGCTGTTCTTCCTTATTATGAAACGTTAATGGAGAATGAAGTCTGTGTTGTCGCAGCTGTTAAAATTGACAAAAAGGGAGTAGATAAATCACTTTCTGATAAAATACAAAGTAAAAGTGCTGCTTTCCTGCAAAGCAGGATCATGCTGGACAGACAGGAGAAAAGATCCCTTAACAGTGCACCTGATTCTGCTGAATCTGGGCAACCTGTCAATGAGAAGGACATCTCTTCTACTCCCTATAGTCTAGGATGTTATGAATCTGAAACTGTTGCCCTTAAGCAAGGGTCAGAAGGAAATTCATTTTCCTTGGAAAAATTAGATTCTTCTGAAGATATAATTCAAGATGTTAACAGCTCTCGTGAAGAGCATAGCATGGATTTAATGGTTAACAAACTATCAAAAGACCGTTTTAATTTTGTAGAAGACACAGAGAAAAAGGGTGCCACTGTGTCTCATTCACTGCTCTTGGATGGTTCAAGCTTGATTTCTTCTTCAGAGAAAGAAATGATGGAAGATATGAGAAAAATAAAGCATTCTTTACTAGATATCTCTTCTCAAAGAACATTTCACGATATTGCTACAGCTCAGAAAGAGCTTCACTCATGGAGTTTATCACAATGTGATGAGAAGGAGAAATGTCTAAACACAAATTATACTATAACAAACAGTAAAAAAGATAATGCAAGGTTTCCAGATGTGTTTGGATATTGGAGTGAGCCCAGAGAGCTTCAGGGATATGGGACTTCTGAAGAGTACTGTGTAGACCATCCAGAGACCGCTGTTTCTGAGAATACTTCAACCCTTTTAGAAAGTCTGAACAAGTCCCCACGGGAAAATGCACATTATAGTGAAGAGTTTTTAAATAATAATAGAAATTCTTACACTTCTGAATATTCTGCTAGTCGCCTGAATAGCCCAGTCTCATTTTCAGATTTTTCAATCAGCAGCGAAGGAAGCAAATGTAAAAATGATCATGTTCTCTTTGAAAAAGCAAAATACTTTGAAAGTGAATCAACCAATTTAAGTGTATCTGTCCCTCTTCCTGAGGTTTGCTCTCTAAATCAAAAAGGAGATGAAAGGAAAAATAATTCAAAAGTTACAGAGGCCATAGGTGCTCAGAACAATAAAGAAGTTGTGGGAACAGATCAAAAGGGGGAAGCAATTCAAGATTCCTTCCAGAACTGCGATAATGAAAGAGAAAATAAAATGCATGAGTACTCAGAGGACTACGCTTGCACTTCTAATGTGACTATACCAGAATCGGGCTTGCTTGCTTTTCAAAGGCTGGGACAGATTTGCAGTAAAGAGTCAAAGTCTCTTCCATCCTACTCTGCAGAAGATATTCCAGCTGATACACTGTTTCAAAGCTCCAACAACTGTAATGCTTTTGACTCTGCTTGTTTACTGGGTGACTCAAAGTTTCCAGTATTTACTCAGCTTGACGACCCACTTCAAGGCACTTATTTGACTGAGCAAGTATCCTCCAGTTCTGCAGACCTGCGCTCTGTAAAGGAAAGAGATTTTCCCCAGCCGTTTCCAAAAGCTAATTACTCATCCTTAACAGCATTTTCAGAATCATCTTTAACTGCAGATACAGACCATGGTAAAACAGGCACATACGATGTTTCACATACAACTACTTTGAAGCATTCTCCATTTGCTGTTTTACAAATGCAAGACACTCAGTCTGATAAGGCTGTGGTATTTGACCAACCAACACCTGTTTCAGGAAGTATTTTACTTTCTCTCGCAAAAGAAAACAAACATTATCCAGTATCTGACACAGAATCATGTGAAGGTTCTGCTGCAGATGGGGAATCTGTACATAGAAGTAATAGTGAACAATTTGGCAATGATACAAAAGTTGATCAGCACCTCTGGGGTAAAGTTCCACTACAGAAAGTTCACACAGAAAACCCAGAGAAAGTACTTGATGACGACGACGACGATTCTCTTTTATTACCATCATTACCTCTTGGGGATACTGGAAGGACCATTCGTATTAAAGAAGGACAAATGAGAGAAGTACTTACCAGAAATGAGGAAGAATTGCATTCAAATGCTGAGGTTGAACCTTCTGCAGTGAAGAGAAAGCAGAGAAAAACATTAAGTAGAGAACCTGGTGAAGTGCAAACTATGGTATCTTCAAATTCTCTGAATGATTTAATAGGTCCACAAATTGCAATGCTGCAAAATCTGTATCCAGGAAATGTTAATGCGGATCCTGAGCACATGTGCAATTCATCTGGTCCAACGTGTCCTACACATAGCAGTAGCATTGATCCTAGAGGACTGTATCACACTGTCTCAGGTTTTGAAAAAAAGCCTCTAGATCTGCAAGACTTTTGTCAGTATGTGCCTACAGGTGGTGATAATCCAAGCAGAACAAGTACAGATAGTAGAAAAGAGATTTTATTTGGCAAAAATAATATAGGTTCAAGTGTCGATACCCCTGCTGATGATGCAGACGATTGTCCAAGAACAGGAGATGCTATAGTAAAGAATAACACTCTGAAGTCAGAAAGACTAAAGTTTTCTGTAATGAATAATCAAAATACCTCCCTAAAGTTTTTACCAGAAAATCATGATTTGCCTCCACAAGAATCCAAACTGGTGCAATTCAGGAGCAAAAGATCATATTTTACTACACAGAATACAAAGAGCTCTAAACAAAGTGAACAGCGACCTTACTTACAAAGTCATAGACTATCAGCCCCAGCTATTGCTGTGATCTCTGATCTGGAATACACTTTGGAAGCTTCATCTAAAGCGGCTCTTTCGTCATCTGCTGCATCTAGATCACTACAAGATTTAAATATGAGTGTAGAGCCTCCATCACCAACTGAAGATGATCTTCATGGAATTGAAAGATTTTCAAAGCAGGAATCAAAGAATTTTCTACAGGTTAAATCTAAATCCAAATTTCAGCAGAGAATGAAACAAACTAAGAAACCTGAAAACTATAATCCAAAAAATTTACACAATTATGGGGAGAGAACTCAAAGCAGCCAGTCTTTAAAAGACTGCACTGTTCGTTCTCCATCATCATTACTGCCCATAGCTCACCGCTCTGTTGGTGCAGAAGCAAATATCCATTCAAAGAGTAGTTCTGTAGCTCAGTGTAGTGAAGGGAGGGTTGAAGCTGGATGCCAGTCAGAAGAAACAGATTTGTTTTTACAAGACAATAAAGATGCAATGCATTTTAGTTCAAGCGATATCAATCCATACGTTCATCCATGGCAACAAGATGGATCTTGCAAGATTGGCTGGAAACAGTATGTTTTTGGAAGTGCAAGTGATGTCTCTTGCAATCAAATTCCTTTAAACCTAGATAATCGTAAAGTTATGAGATGTTCCAGTGTGGACAATGGATTGAATTCTCAAAATTCTCCTTTTCATTCTCATCTCAGTTCATATGCTACAGCAAAAGTTTTATCAAGCACTTTAAGCAGCATTGAAGATCTTCAAGGATGGCACAATATTAGAAAGGGCTTTGAATCTGCATACCCAAGTGACAGTACCAAGCAGTATAGCAATGTATCCAGTGAAACACTGGAAACTAATCCAGAAAATAATGTTGCCAGTTTTGATAATCCTTCTGCACAACCTGGTAACTCTTCAATGCAAGTCGATGAAATCGTACTGTTATATCCTTCCGAGTCAGAAAGGTCTTCGAAAAAACTAACAGGAATTACACGTGAGCAGGGAACACAAACGGCAATTACAGGAAGGTATAGAAGACAGAGAAGACACCAGAGAAGCTATACAGATGTTTCTGCAAGAAAGCAAGAAACAAGCAGAGATTTATTTCAGCAACCTTCTTCCTGGGCAAGCATGCAGAACCTATCCATGCATCTTTCACAGCTTCTTCAGAACACTTCTGAACTCTTGGGAAACCTCTCTCAACAAAATATTATAGATAACGAACAGAATGCCAAAATCAAGCAAAAGAGAATGGAAGAGGTTGTAAAGGCTATTAGATCAGATAGCTGCACTCAAACTACAGCAGATATAGGCATTCAAACTGAGATTTCAGAACCTCATAGCAAACACAAAGAAAAACTAGTGCAGGCAAAAATGGAAAATGAATTGAGGGCAGCTCAGGCAGTAAACGTTGATTTGAAAGGGATAGGTGCCGGTGCAGAAGGTAAGATTTCAGAAGGGAAAAACTACAGCAGATATAGGCATTCAAACTGAGATTTCAGAACCTCATAGCAAACACAAAGAAAAACTAGTGCAGGCAAAAATGGAAAATGAATTGAGGGCAGCTCAGGCAGTAAACGTTGATTTGAAAGGGATAGGTGCCGGTGCAGAAGGTAAGATTCCCGAATGGAAAGAGGAAATGCTCTCTCTCAAAGAAAGAACACAAGAAAGAACTGAGATGAGAACCTTAAGTAATCCTGATTTCCATGACAGTCTTGATAGCATTTTGGAAGATTCCTTTATGCGTCTGCCTCGTTTACCCAGAACCTCCACTCCTATCTTCGGTTTTCAAAAAACTTTAAATGCGCAGCAGAATGTTGCTTTTGCTAATACCAGAGTTTCATCTATTGCATCATCTTTGCAAAGTTCAGGGCAAGATGATTCTTCATGCACTATAGTTAGCAGCCCTACTAATAGCTCCTTGCAATCTCCAGCAACTTACGCTCAGGGTAAGAGAACTGTCAATGAAATGGAGATTCCAGTAGAAAGAAAACTTTGTCACAAAAACACCTTGTTAGTTGATAGGGCCTCTTCTCCAATTCTTACTCTTAGTGCTAGTCCAAACAGCCAGATAGCTTCTAAAGGGCCTTTGGAATATTCCAGTGATACTTCAAGTCCACTTCACAGGCAGAGAAAGCAGAGGTCTGGACCACAGTCTGGCATGGAACCTCATGTGGACAACTTTTCACAGACAGAAACTGACAGTGAATCGAGCACTTCTAGAAACAACAAGGACACAAGAAAGAAATCTGGCAGTTGTGCAGATAAGAATGCAGCCAAAGAGCTTTTAGAAAGAGATGGTACAAAAGACTTGAAACAAAAGCATAGATTCATGGTTGACACACACACTACAATTTGTGCGAAACGACTGTATCACTCTAGTAGTACATTAGAGGTCTCTGGCCACAGGGAATTTTTAACAGATGGCCTTAGAGACCACGGTCCGCTGGAACGTTCACTTCATTGTATGTATGTCACAAGGAGAGGAAGAGGCTCTTTAGGAGGAATCAGGCATGAAAAGCATGTGGATAATTCTGATACTGCATTGCTTCATAACTACTCACCTCCAAATTCCAACTTACTTTTTAATCAAGAAATTAGTGCCACTTCTTCAAATAAGACAAATGCTGACCAGTCTTCAGAACCTCAGGTAGAAGCATCTTCTCTACAATTTCCTGATTTCTTTTGGAAAAATGAAAATAGCTGCCCTCTCCCTCTCTCTGACATGAGCGAAGTGCAGACTTCCTTGCAAGATGACAATACAGATTCTCTGTCTGAAAGTGAATGTGACACTGAAATCCTTCTGAACAGAAACACGACTTTTGCAAAGCCTCACAGGCCTCGGAGCTACAGTCTTCGTGACTTACCCATACACAATAAATTTAGCAACTGGTGTGGTTTTAAGGGGGGTCCTCCTTCTTCCTTACTTAGCTTGAGTGGCAGTATGGCTGATTTACGAAGTCAGGTAGAAAAGAAACCTAGAAGCAAACAAGCAACAGAAATGGAAGGAAAATCTCAGCTCTGCGAAAGCAGAAACAGAGAGATTGAGAGACTTCAGAGAGAACGTGCTCAGATTATGTCTGGCATGCACCTGGATCTGCACCAGCACCCCCTTACTGTGGAGCTCACCGAAGCAAAGCTGAATTACGGCATTGGGGAGACAGACGCGCTGCTGAGAATTCTTCAGAGCGGAACCACAGATGACCTGATGTCGATTCCAGTAAAGCAGCAACTTTATGAAAGGTAAATTACTTAAAATGGTGTTGTTTTAAGTATTTTGAGTACGCTTCATATACTGTTCGTTTAACATAGGTAACATTTAGTACACATATGCTTAATCATTACTCATGGTCTCAGTGAACTATATGTGAAGGGATACAACATTAAGCTTATTTTATACATAGTTAAGTAATGCATTTAAGGTAAAATTTTGGGATTACTTGAAGGAATCTTGTACTTGAAGGTACTTGTACATGGAAAAGTACAAGCTTTTCTTAAAATTGTTAGCAGCTATGAGAGTGATCGTATGTGCTCTGTGACCACGGGAGTATGTTTTGTTGATTTATTGCAATGTAAAAATAACTGATGCATCCCATTTATGGTAATATCTCATTCTTGCTTCTGTGAATAAACACTGCTGTATGAACATGCAAAAACCAATATTAAAAACTCACAAAATTACAAAAAGAATTGTGAAAAAACAAGATGCTGCATTCTTATGACTGGATGATAGAACGGAGTTTGGGAAGTTACTGTAGCTACTTCTAAATTTTTTTTAGTTACATCAGTCTCCTTTCTCAATCTGCCTCTTAGCCTTTATAAGCCTTCAACAAGACATTCGTATGCATTTCCTACAGTAATAAAAGTAGTGGAGTTTTAGAATTTCTGCATCATCTGTCACCATGTGACCAAAGAGGTGCTTGCAGGGGGAGTGTATGCTATTAAATTCCCATAAATTTTACGTTACAAAGCTACCTAGTATTTAAGGCATTTAAAAAACAGCAATTGTAACTTTGCAGGGTGCACTTTGTGGCTCTAATCTTGTTTCCCCGACAGACACATGAGGACTATTGAAACTCTGAGGAAGGAAAGAGAAAAAAGGCTGCAAAGGTACCGAAGAAGCCGAAGTCTGAGTCCTCAAAAGCATCTGAGTCTGTTGCAGGCGATGGATGCAAGTCAGAGGGATATAGATCTCCCCAGCAGACGGCGAGAATATCTGCAACAACTGAGAAGAGATGTGGTGGAAAATACTAGGTAAGGTATTAGAAACATCTCTTTTGGCACGATGAATGTTAAGAGTTTTCACAGTAGGTGCACATGAACAATTTCTACTGGCATCTGAAGCTTCTGTGGCAGGAGACAGCAGAACAGCAGAGGAATTCTTCTCTTTAATGCTAAAGGCAGAAGTGGTAATCTTTGGGATAGAAAGTGTTTTCAGGGTAAAACATGTGCTTGATTCTAGAAAACACTCGTTACATTCTTCTGTCCAGTTATTTCACAGCATAACAAGTGCCTAATTTACTTTGTATGTGATGTAAAAGGAAAGCCAAGGATTCAATCTTGACTGATTATAGACCAATCTGTCTTCTTGCTCCTTCTCTAACTTAACAGCCATAGGAAATAGTTAAGCATGATGTTAAATATCAAAAAAGTGAGTTCTGCAGAACCCATCACCATGTAGAAATTGAGTTTTTCACCCCCGCCATTTCCCCTAAATGACTTTTGCTTCCTCTGTAGTAGGTCAGTAGAAGAGTGTTTTCCCAGCACAGTTATTATGCATGCAAAATCAGTGCAACTGTTAGAGTAATCTCAGTGGTGAGCTGGACGTGCAATCTGAATCTGTTTTCCAGGCTTAATGCCTCTAGTGAGCAAGGAGAAACTTTCTCGAGGCTACTGTGGCTACTTGCTGTTCTTGAAAATTTTCCTGTTCCATATTGAAAGATGATTTCCTCATGGTATTTTGGCAGGTGACTTGGTTTCAAGTAACTTAGATATACTGTTTTTCCCCCACTTACTATCTTGACAGAATTCAAGAACCAAAAAGAAGTGTTCAGCACCCTTCAGAGATCGAGCTGTTGCTCCGAGACTATCAGAGGGCACGAGAGGAAGCCAAGACTGAAATTGCACGAGCTAGGGACAAACTTCGGGAGAGAGCTGAGCAAGAAAAAAGGCGTATACGGGAGCAAATATTTTCTCAGTTACAGAAGGTGAATGTTATAGAGGAAATTATTCTGCATTATTCACATTAATGCACTTCTTAGAGAAACTTTTGATGGTTCAATATTGTTATTTTCCTAACTGACATAATGTGTAGAAATAACAAAGAATTAAATGCATAGTTTTGCTTTAAAAAGATCAGTGATATTGAACAGATATACTGTTCATGCTTCTGAACTACATCATCCCAGAGCTGTTGTTTCTTGATACCATATTATGTGCAAGAAACTCCACAGATTTTCTCAGTGGATAGAGCTTGCGCAGCCGTGCCTGCTGAGCCTATCAGCCTTGTGGGATAGTTCTGCTAAGGTAAAATTAGATTATTCCAATATGCGCTTAAACACACAGGCCTTCATTCTTCTTTGTCCGTTTGTCGTCTTAGACTGTCCTGTATTTGTTCCATAGTTTTGTTTTTCCTTCTGTACTTTGTTACCCATCATTCACAGTCAGAGTTTCTGTGAATTTTCTCCGATACGCAAGGACGATACCGTCTTAAGGATGAATCTCTTCTGAACAATTTCTGACCATAATTCTCTGCAGTTACCTTTGTCGCTGTCTGACAGTGAGCTGTAACGATAGCTGCAGACCTCCTCTCTTCATGTGTGCAGAAATGCAGTGAACCTTCACCTCATTGCTCCCTGCCCCTTTAGGGCACCTAGAATTCAGGAACTAGGTAACTGGGTCTTATCCATATCTGTAAATCATTTGTGTTGTGAAACAAAGAAGTACTTCAGTGGGGTTGGAAAACCTAACTTAAAGCTGTCATTGCAAGTATAAATCATCTTAAAGTTCTTAGTATTTTCTTATTATGTAATTTTTTCCTCATCTTTTAGGCTGGCATGGAGCAGTTGCATTATTGGTAAAATCTTCAGTCCTTAACAACCAGATGTGACGAACAAGTTAAATCAGGGACTACTAGAGAAGTTGGTAAAGAAAGAGCAACAAACAGGACTGCAGCGAGATGGGGTTTTTTGCCTTCCTTTTCCCCTCCTAGAAACAGGCCAGCACTGGTCCAGCACTGGCCAGTCTGGACTCTTGTATCTGAAGAACAACAAAAGCAGAAACTACAGTCATTCAGATCTTCCCAGATTGCCTGGTTTTATGGGGTGATTCATGGCTTATTATAATTTTAGATCTTTCTACTGGGCCTGCTTATTAAGTGAAATTTATGAATACTTTTTATATGGCAACAGTTTTTGTATTGTCAGCAAACGTTGAACCAAATCGGACTTTGGTTAATCCCGCTTTCATCTTGCAGTGCTGTTATCTTTGTTGATTTGACTAGGGGCTGTGTAAGATTTAGTTTTGGTCTCTAATATTCTGACCTCTATTACAGGAAGAAGCCAGGCTGAAGACTCTTGTAAGTACAAGCACTTTATGTACGGACTCCAGCCTCAGCCTTTCCTCTGGCCCAACATCAGGTTACAACAGTAGTAACACAGCTACATATACTGCAAGTAAACTCAGCAGCCAGGACAGCCAGGAGGGACAGGTGAGAACAAATTGTTGCCAACTGGCCAGTGAGACCGTTGTCTCCCGATGCTTCAGCAGTAACAGGGATAACTCAGAGCAGAAACCTTTTTGAGATGGTTCATATTCTGTCATACCTCTCAATCAAGACAAGTTTGTGTCACTGGTACATGGAGGGCTTACACAGGGTGGAGGGAGCATCACCATGTAATTGCCAAGGAAAATGATACTTTCATTTCTTTAAGCTTTTTAAAGCTCATTTATAAAAGCCAAACAAACAGTGTTACTATTATCAGCAATGCCATCGGTCAACAGTTTTAGCAACAACAGGTTGTTTTGTGGTAAACCAGAATTGGATATTGTCAGTGTGCCTCTCAGTTATGAGAGATGCACATATTGACTTGAGAGTTTGTCTGTGTGAACATGAACAGTCCTAAAATTAATGATTGGAGCATGGACCTGTGGATGGCTCCTCATACTCATTTTGCTAAATTTCTTGAGTTGACTTTCATAATCAAGTGAAAGGACATTAGCAACGCTATATAAAGAAAAGCTTCCAGCCTTGTAAAGCAGATTTGCTCTGAATGTTACGTAATTTAATTATTTTTCCCAGTTCACACCAAAAAATAAAGCACTTCTGCTTTCTCTCAAATTAGGTCTCTTCAGGAAATGCAGAGCTTTCAAGAGGAGATACAAGAGGTCGTTCAGCTGTTAGAAATAGTCAGCTTCATGCATTAGAACAACTACAGAAGGACTCAGCATTTGGTAAGTATAAAACATACATCTGCTTATGTTAGAGTCATATCCCAAAACCTTATGAGAGTTGTTATTTATGCAAATCAAACTGAAATTGATTCTAGGTATTTTAAGGATGTCCTATGATTATGGGACATCAGAAGAATATTGTCAGCTGGAGTTTGGTTAGCATTTGCTGAAAAATTAAATGGTGACTTGGTTCCTCTGAGCTTGGTCTTTTGATGCGATGAAGTCATAGTATAGCAGATACGTGTATAATGCCTTGAATGGAACAGAGAAGCATGGGGGTTAAAGCTACAAGGAGTATATAGGCTTGCACATGTATCTTCCTATTTGTACCCAGGAGATTCGTGTTGCCTATTCTTCTTAAGGTTTTATTAGCTTCTATTGGCAATAACCTTAAAACTTGAGCTTAGATGTAACTCCAGGGTAACTTCCAATAGATGGATTGTCCAGACAAGAGCTGTTATCAGCCCTTCATCAGGATCAGGTTGATCTGGTGCACTAGTGGAGGGTTTAAGTCCATTTCAATGTAGAATGCTATTTTACTTCTGCACCATTTTAGTGCTGTTTTTCTTTCTGATTTTTTTTCTCATGCCTCTGCAGAAGCCAGCAGAATTCAGCCACCTTTTACCTCTGGTAGCATCAGCTGTAGGTTCACTCACGGATTAACTATTTCAGTCAGCTCTTCCTCAACAAAAGGATATCAAGATTTATCTAAACATATCTTGGCGAATGCTACCACTGAGGTGAGTAAATAAGCATAGTTTTCACTTACTCCTCTACCTCTCACTGGAATTTGTAGCAAAACAGTGTGTGGGACACGTTTTGTTCCTCTGCACTGGCGCTATTTGTTTGTCAGTTACAGCAGGAGACCTTAGCAATTTTAAATGGCAGGCTGTAACAGTGGAGTTCAGAAGATACTGTTGCATGTTATCTGAAACATTTAAAGGAAACTGGTGAAACTATGAACTGTGGCAGAAGAGTGTTGGAGGTTTACTGACTCACTGAACATAATAGCCAAATTTTAGCTTTTTAGCACTCGGTGCTCCTCTGGGTCTTACATAAAAATGTAGTTTTTATTCTATTCACTGCTATTCTCATTCTTCCTACATCTGTGTAAGGCAGGATGTGACAGCATAGGCAGAAGGAAAGCAGACAAACTTGATTCAGTTCAACAGCGTTTGGAGATGTATTTTTTTTCCCCTGCCCTTTTTCCACACTAGACAGTTTAAGCTTATATAAATCCTCCTTTTTGGCAGGGAACATGAGGGAAGTCAGTCTGGCTGTTAGCACTCCCAAAGGACGACTAGCACTACAAAATTAAATGTTTGTGGTAAAGTCAACTTACTTACTGATTGGGCTAGGAGATACTGTAGCAGGATGCAAAAGCTGAACACAAGTTATAGTTTATGTAACTTTCCCTTACCTGTTGTTCCTTTGTCATTGTTTCCTAAGGTAATGGCAGCATGCTCTCATAACCTGAGGAATCTCTATACATGCCAATCAGCAGCTGGTTGGAAGTAAGTTTATGGCAGGTACTTTTAGCGGGAGATCTTTTTATACATGTGACCCTCTTTTGTACAAATTCCTTTCATTTGTCTTTGACAGGTACCAAGGTACTGAAAAAGAGGTGCTGATTTACTATAAAGTCTTCCCTTCAGCAACAAAGCATGGGTTTCTGGGAGCAGGCGTGATAGAAAGACCTCTTCCACATGTGTGGGGACTAGTGAGAGATCCTGGCAAAAGGCATCTGTATGACAGAACCATCAACATAGCTCGAATACACAAGAAGGTAACCAGCCATATTCAGCTGGGTGAGTATCGACAGAGATGCCTGGCCCACATAATGAGTCTGTACTTTCTCAGCTCAGACTGAAAAGACTGAAGACGACTGACAACAAATTTACTCTTTAGACTCGCTTCATTTTTTCAGGCTTGAATATACAGAATTGTGTTTAATATGGGAATTTCCTTTTTTGCAAAAAAACCCTTTGCAGAGTAAGGATAATCTTAAACACATCTGTCTGCTTAAGTACAGATACAGACATGGTTTTAAAGTCAGACGAATCCAGCTAAGCGGGCTCCTGAGATGGTTGCATCTTTGTTACAAGTTACTGTTATAGCTTATTAACTATTATTCCATCAGGCAGCTGTACCACGAAGCTAAAAAAAATTGTTTTTGTGTCAAGTCAAAGTTGTCAAAGCCTAATTCTCTTTCTCTTGTGTTTTGGTGTTTTTTTCTCCCCAGTATATTTAGTGACTGACACCTCCCTGTGTTACCTAAAGCAACCCCGTGATTTCTGCTGCATTACTGTAGAAGCCAAAGAGGTAAGATGTTTTCTCTAAGGTTTGTGAAATAATTGTTTTAAAGTCACAGTTCAAGGAGAAAGGGAAAGGAAAGTTCATATTCATATTTCCAGAAAGGGCAGTACAACAGGAAGAAAAACCATGCTGACATGACAAGTGAATTACTTATAAAAATAATCTCTCAGAACTTACAACCATCAACTAAGGATAACCAGCATATTCTGGTTACAAGCAAGGTTAGGACAAAATATTTAATAAGTAATTTGAGAAATATGCCTGGTGGCAAACAAAGAAAAACATAATATATGCCTAAAAATTTTTCTTGAGTTGTCTTCTTTGCACATTCTCACATGCAGGAGAACTTGTCTGTCTTGGCAATTCAGTCTGTCTATGATGCATCAATGCCTCACCCTTGTAAAGAAGCGGTGAGAGGGGAGATTTTGCCAAGTGCCTGGATACTGGAACCTGATGTAGTGAACGGAAAAGATATCACCAGAGTCATTTACATGACACAGGTGAGATTTGCAGTATGTCAAACCAATCTGACTGTTACAACTGTTCTGTAACAGCTTTTTGCTTTCCAAACTTCAGAGCTGGTAAATGGCAAAAAAATATAGTACGTACTTATGCCATGGTCCATGACGTTTGTTTATCTAGTATGACATAGATGGTAATGCAGAGAGAATCGCAGCAGGAAAAATAAGCATTAATAATAAAAGGAATAATAAGCATATGTGCTTAAGTACACAGTCTCACATTTCTACAGCACCTAAAACTGCTGCCTTGGTTGGTCACCAAGACTCTACTGTAAAGATTTATCAGCAGTTTTAATACATTTCATTCTCATATGGTGAGCCAGTAAATGCTACAGTGTTAAAGACTGAAGACTCTTCATTCGCATTTTCATCCTACAGTAGACACACAGGAAGACCAGCTCTGGCTCCACTCATTTTCAAAATGCATGGAAATCCGTACTGTTAACTTTCTGTAACAGAATGTATTAATTCCTCACACTTAAGAGATACCAAGGAGAAGTCAACATTAGAATCCCAGTTAAGAATGAGAAAATCATGCATTCCACTTATTATAGACTTACCTGAAAAGCAGGTGCTCTCTAAGGCAGTAGTACTGACTGACTGCCTAAAAATATCCATAAGAAAAACCATAATGGGTCATTTATTTTGAGCAGTTATCTGAGAGCTAAATATATTTAAGTCCTTTAAGCTTAGCTATATTAGTACGATTTAAGGATTCAATTTTTTTAATAGTAGTTTTAAACTCCAATTAGCATATGCCTTTTGCACTGCATATGGAATGTGTATGCATTTTATGATTTCATATGCATTTTATAATGCCTTATAAGGACTGTATGCATGTACACTTTCAGTAGCATTACATACATCTGGCCCATGAACTAGTAACATTTAATCCAAGTCAGCTCAAACTCAAAAGGAGTGTGGGTCATACTTGGGGAAAGTAACATCAAATAAACATGCAAACCTTTGAAAGCCTAAGGGGTGTTGCGAAGAAAAAGGTACAAGCCACCACAGTAGTGATGACTTTGAGCTATAAACCACTTTTGTGCTTACCATACAGAGCTACTCCAGGCTGGAGAAGTGTTTTGTTAAAAAATGGGTATAAAATCCCCCAAACACGTGCCTTTCTTCTAATTTCTACAGGTGGATCTTGGTGCCCCAGCTATTCCTGCAAGGCTGCTGAGTTCCATTGCTAAGCGACAGCCTTTGGTGATTGCTCGACTAGCACACTTTCTTGCTTGTTAGTACTTGCCACAAAACTGGATACTTAGAGCAGCTGGAAGTTTGGAGGGAGATGCAAGCATCTGTAAGGGTAATGTAAAATGCTGGCTCATAAGACAGTTGCAGTCAAGCCTGACTTGAGAAGCCTGATTGCTAACCTGGGAGTATACAAAACTATAACCAGAAGAAAGGATCGTGTATTTCAACCAGTGTGGCTTAGGAGAAACCTAGCAAGTTTTATGGGGGGGTACTGCTCCTTCCTGAGACAGCTGTGGAAAAGCTCTTAAGGAGCAACACAAAGGTATGCTGTCTCTAGAAAGAGGAGAGAGAAACTTCACTTTACAATAGCCAGCATCTTACATGCAGAAGTGTATTACAAGTTTTCTGTTTCCAAGGGGTTTTAAAGATCAACCTTCTCTCTCTGAGATAATTTAGGCAGTGGTGAGAAAAAGGCAATGGAAGTGATGAAATGCATTACAAACTGGAAATGGTGAGTATACATACGGCTTGAGATCTTTTGCAAGCTCTCATTAAAGATGCAAACCCACAATCTAATGTTAAGATAAATATCAAATGCAGAATTCCTAACAGTGTAGTCAGTCAGCTTGCCAAGTTAAATGACTGACTTCCCCTTGAAGGGAAGTTAAAACAGCATGAGACCCACTAGTCATTCTACACCCTGGATAGATTTTTCTCAGATAGTTGGCTGACTACTTGTAGGCAGCATAATCAGATTGTCACTACACTATGCAGCAACAGCAGAAAACACCATACCTCAGGACACACAGTTATACTGCACTACAGAATTAGGTGCTTTGAAATAATAAAGAAACCAAACGGACAGTTGTAAACAATGACACTTTGCCGTTAATAGGGAGTAGTACTGACTAATTGGCTTGGTTCTTAAACCAAGAACTTAAATCCTGCAAATAAAGGAGCTCAAGCACTTTTTCATAATGGCTTTTTTCATCAGTCCTTTTACACTTCTACCCCAAAGCATTCAGAGTTGAAAATCTAGCCTGGAATAGTCTTATCTCACTTTGTTCATAACACC